TGGATGTGTGTGTGTGTGTGTGTGTGTGTGTGTGTGTGTGTGTCTGTGTGACGGTGTGTAAAAGGGGGAGGGGGTGCTTTTTAAGCCGTTTTATGTAAAGTAGCTCCAAGCGCCGTACGGCTGTACATTGCTTTGGTCAGTGTTCATGATTAAGCATGTCTGTGTTCGGAAATATTATGGGCTTTCAGTTCATGTAACTCGGTAGATATGCTTAAGTCGGTATCTGAGTGCCTTTCGGCAAAAATTCACACAGACCAACATAAATACACTCCCCCATTCACACTACAAAATGCAACCTTAGCTCCATAATCACACTAACATAGACTGAACTAAGAGCAGTGGGGGCTGAATCTATTTTTTTGAAAAAAGAAATGTAGGTGTTTTTACGCCCCCATCGAGATAATTTAGATAGTTTAGGAGATCCACTTTGACCTTGCATTTGAGGGCCAACCCAGGCTGAAAGGGATACAACATCCCAGCATAAAGACCGATATACACAATATAAAATTTCCCCCTTCCCCACACGGGAATGGAACTCGGGTCTTCGGTGAGCGGCATTGAAGAACATAACAGCTACACCAAAGAGGCCGGTCCTTAGCTCCATAAAGACATTACACAGAGAGTACACCAGGAGCGATGGAGGCTGCAGAATCCTGGAGATACAAATCTTCTATAAACACATCATTAAAAAACACAAGTCTGGAGGTAAACAGACAGACGCTAGAGCGCGTGTTCTGTGTTCACGATAGCCATTAACTCTCTATGCACCTAGAGACCACATGGTTAAGTCCGATCAGCAAACTAAAGGCAATGTTGCAGCACATTCCGAATCATCATACACAGATCAGATCAGAAACAGGAATTTGCATATTTCATAGTATGAAGCACAGTGCCTGGCTTTTAAAGTGTCAGATAAAGGAAGCAGAATACAAATATCAGTGTGAATAACGAAGTTCTGCTTCTTTTTTGCAAGTACCAAAACCCCCTAAAAAAACAACAACTCCAAAACAAACAAAAAAACCAAGAAAAATCAAAGCAACCCCCCCCCCTTCACTAAAAAAGAAATACGGAAAGAAACTTCCTCCCCTAAAAGCAACAATAACAAAACGGTTTTGAAAGCAAAAAACAGAAAGCAAAACAAACAAACAAACTAAACATCAACAACAACAAAACCCCAACTAACAAACATCGCGTCTTCAACTTCAAAAGCGCGCCCTCAATGAGTTAAACCTGTAAGAGAGGCC